AGACCAAGAAACGTTGAGTCAAGCCGACGCCGACAAACGATCGGTCGGCGATGACATCTGACAAACTCCTCTGTGTTTGTGCCGTTTTTGTTCCCCGTGTGTGCGGCAGTGTGAAGAAGCAGCTGGTGGAGGCTCTGAACAGGAACCAGTACCTGAAGCGTCTGGAGCCTCAGCAGCTTGGAGACATGGTGGAGTGCATGTACCCGCGCACGTACCAGCAGGGGGATTACGTGGTCCAGCAGGGAGAAGCTGGCAGCCACCTCTTTGTCTTGGCAGGTACCACTCCGTTCTTGTTCCTGTCTGTCAATATTGACCAAAGTTATGGTGGCTTTAGAAGAGTCCCTTGTTCCTGACAAGAGACTTTTGACACACACACACACACACACACACACACACACACACACACACACACACACACACACATTACATTACAGTATCACACATCATAATCATGCTTTATGTAATGGGTGCCTGTGTACACCTTTATGTAATGTGTGTGTGTGCGATACAGTAATTTATTTTGTCTCTCTCTCTCTCCCGCGCGTGCACGCGCACGCAGATGGAAAGTTGGACGTGTTTGAGCAGGACACGCTGGTGTCGTCGATGGTGGCGTGGACGGCGTTTGGCGAGCTGGCCATCCTCTACAACTGTACACGCACCGCCTCCGTGCGAGGTAAGCGCCGCGCCAACATCTCGTTCAAGAGACTTTCATGCGCCGTCGACACGAACGCCTTATAAACTGGCTGAGCGTCTGATGTAAAATGCGGAATTGCAAAAGTCTTCACACCCTTCTGAGGCACAAGCGACATGTTTATGCGCTCGTTGGCAAGTAGTGTCGCCGCTAAACAAGCCAGTTACGATAAATCCAAATCAAAGTTGTTCGTTCAGAAAAAAAGAAAGAAAGGTTTCCGTCAGTCCTCTGTATGTGTTTCTCAAATATTCATGCGAGATCCATAACAAACAAACCAAAAAAAACTTTATTCCAACCCAGTCAAGGATGATGCCTGCAAACAAATTGTGTTTCTTAAAACGGTCAAGATCCAAATCAAAGTACTTTGTACTGAACAAAGCTCAATCAAAGTCCTTTGTCCGCAAAAAAGTACACGAGCTCCAAGTCATTTGTTCACCGACATTTGTTATTTGTTCAAACCCGGTGACAGGGAAGATCCAAATGAGAGACCTTTTATCACAACATTCATTTCACATCGAAGTTTTCCAGTACTGTGGATGTGTCGGAGGGCGGGGAATCCTAAAAAGAAAAAAACAGAACCCCCCCCCCCAATTTGTGTACCGCCTTTGTTTCCGCGGCAGCTGTGAACCGAGTGTGCGCGTGGGCTCTGGAGCGCGAAGCCTTCCAGAATATCATGAGGAGGACGGCCGAGATGCGCCACCACGAGTACCGACATTTCCTGCGCAGGTTGGTGCAAAGGCTTAGATGCCACCTCGATATGTTGTCGAAAAGCACTAAACCTGATCAGATGGGCCAGACGTGCGAGTATCTGAATAGGTTTCATCCCATTGTAAATGTTACGTCACACTGTGGCCACATGCGCAAAAGATCTGGACGAAATTTGGTTTGATCATTTACACTAGAGCCAAATCTGGATCAGATCTGGATTAGTCTTGGTTGCAGTGGCGTTTTATGCTTCCAACGAAAGTTTTATTTGTGCCAAGACTCGGTTGCGAGGATGAGGCTTGCAATCAGGTTTTCAGGTGGCTTTTACATGCCATGCTTCCACGACAGTCAAATCTGGATCAGGTCTGGATTGAACTGAATTTGACATTTTCGCGTGTGTGTGTATACTTGCATCAGTGTTGCACTTCTGCTAGAATTAGGCGTTTAAATTAGGGTTTGAAGACAGTGCTGGCATTTGAAGAAAGATGAGCGTATGTCGCTTCGGTTCGGGTTTCAACAGGTGCTCAAATAAATAGTACATGTTACAGTTCAACTGAAGCCACAACTGGATCAGATGTGGAATAAACTTGGTTTGACTTTTTTTTTTTGTTGTTGTTTTTGCTTGTGTGTTTTTTTCCATCAGCGTGACTCTTTTGGCGAATCTGCCTGACGACAAACTCAGCAAGATCATGGACTGTCTGGAGGTGGTAAGGTTCTCACGCAGCTCCAGTGAAGCAATCAAACCAGGAACAGTTAGCGTTTCCAGCCACGTGTTTCAAACTTGGCTTAAGGTTTCGAAGTAGGCTTTCAGGCCTGAGTTGGAGTGTGAAATTCTTCTTGATGCCTTACCTTGCCCTTCTCTGCAGGAGTACTACAACAAAGGCGACTACGTGATACGCGAGGGCGAGGAGGGCAGCACCTTCTACATCATTGCTCAAGGAAAGGTAAGGCTTCAAGCGCTACTACTACCAACTTCCTGTCAACCCCCTACCACAAAAAAAAAAAAAAAAAAGCTGCTTTTCACCCCGCAGGTGACGGTGACCCAGACCACGCGGGACCACAAGAGCCCTCAGGTCATCAACATGTTACAAAAGGGCGACTACTTTGGGGAGAAAGCGCTCATCAGGTAGCCATTCGTGTCTACATAAGCTCAGCGCTAATGCTAATGTTGCTCAAGCTAATGCTCAAGTTTGCTTTAGCGATGACGTCAGGTCCGCGAACATCGTTGCCGATGAGGACAGAGTGGAGTGCCTCCTCATGGACAGACAGTGAGTCGAAGCACACCATAAACAACGAACGGGGTTAGGGTTTCAAACTGGGGCTTTGACCTAAGGTTATGGTTTCAAAATTAGGGTTGAAACTGGGGTTTAGAGCAATAGTTTTTTTTAAAAATTGGGTTCCAAGCCAGCCTCATGATATCAAATTTGGGTTTCGAGCCAGTGTTAGGGATACAAGTTGTAGTGAACAGCCACTGTTAAGGCTTTGAATTAGGGTTCCGAGCCAGGGTTCGGGTTTTCGCACGAGTGTTGAGGTTTCATATTAACTTTTTAAATTCAAATTTGAGTTTCGAGACAGGATCGGGGTTTTAAATTTGGGATTACAAAATTAGGTTTGGAGTTTCGAATTAGGATTGAAGACAGTATTCGCGTTTCAAATTAGGGTTTTAAACTATGGTTAGGGTTTCAAACCACTACTAGGGTTTCCAATTAGGGTTTAGAGCTAGAGTTGGGGTTTTAGAACAGAATTGTGGTTTCAAATTAAGGTTTAGAGCTCGAGTTAGGGTTTCAAATTCCGACTAGGGTTTCCAATTAGGGTTTAGAGCTAGAGTCGGTGTTTTAGAACAAAATTGTGGTTTCAAATTCGAGGTTAGGGTTTCAAATTTGGGTTCCTAGTCACTGTTAGGGTGTAAATTCGAGCCAGCGTCCTCATTAGCGTGCTAATGTTGTTGGCGGCGTCAGGACCTTCGACCAGACGGTGGGCACCTTTGACGAGCTCCAGAGGTACCTCCAAGGCTACGTGGCCACGCTGGACCAGGGCGACTTGAAGCGAAACGCCGGGTAGGGCGCCCGCTCGTTCGCTCGCCGGTTTGTTCGCCGCCGCTAGCTCTGCACGGTTGCCGCCCCCCCCGCGCAGGAAGTCGCTGTCGCGCCGCCCCAGTCAGACGTTGCCCCCCGACGTGCTGCGCCTGAAGCAAATGACCGCCGCCTTCTCGTCGTCCAGACCGCTCGACCACATGGACGTCGTCGCCACGCTCGGCGTGGGCGGATTCGGGCGAGTTGAACTGGTACAAACGCTGTCACTCGCCCTTTCACCCCCAAAAACAAAAAAGCAAATGGCCACCAATATTGTCATACGCAGCCATGACATTCCGATTTTTTTTTTGTTTGTTTTTCCTGCAAAAAGAAGTCACCCATATGCAAATGAGAGTGTCTTCTCACGCTCCAGCCAAAATGCGTTCAAATATTTTAGGGTGGAAAAAATTTTTTTTTTTCCTTAACTGGTCATCATCATCGGAACTATTTTTTTGTCTTTGCGCAGGTGAAGGTTAAGGGCGAGGACGTGACGTTCGCCCTGAAGGTGATCAAAAAGAAGCACGTGGTGGACAGCCGGCAGGAGGAGCACATCCACTCGGAGCGCCGCATCCTCGCCGAGGCCAGCTCGCCCTTCGTCGTCCGGTCGCGACCTCGTCTCAAATTTGCTCTTACAAATATTTGCACTGACAAAACTCACCATTTGGTCCCCTTCCTTTGTCTTGAAGTCCGTCCAGAAATGACGCCACGCTGGTGCTTTGAGATACAACTTGAATGTCCTTGATGAATGTCACTTGTTTCATTTATTTTAAATTCATTTTTATTCGTCATGCTTATTGTTTTCTGTATTTTAGTTGAACGATTAATCAGGAGATGAGTAGCTCTCGCTCTCTCAAAGTGAAAAATGAATCAAATTTGCTCTTACAAATATTTGCACTGACAAAATTCACCAGTTGGTCCTTCTATTGTCTTGAAGTCCATCCAGAAATGACGCCACGCTGGTGCTTTGAGATACAACTTGAATGTCCTTGATGAATGTCACTTGTTTCATTTATTTTAAATTCATTTTTATTCGTCATGCTTATTGTTTTCTGTATTTTAGTTGAACGATTAATCAGGAGATGAGTAGCTCTCGCTCTCTCAAAGTGAAAAATGAAAAAAAAAAAACAAAACGGTTTTCTGGCCTCCTCTGGTGTGTGCACGTTGGCCACCAGAGGGCAGTAACTATACTACAGACATGAAGTCCTCAGTGAGCCACAGTCATTTTAGTCAGTCTTTGCAGAGGATAAATAATACATGCCTGGAAGTGTTTGCTACACTGTGTGTTTCCCTGTGTTGGCGGACCGTTTTTGGTTGAAATATCTGTTGCTCAAAGGGTTAAAGGGTTAGCGCACCGCAACATCAATGCTAGTTTCTTTAGTCTGTCGTTGCCGTTTTGCATTCAGACTTTTGCAATCAGACTGTCGTAAGGCAACGTTACGAATTTTGCCAAACTTGGACTTTTTGTGAAGTGAGTTGAGTTGAGCTCACCGCCCGCTAGTCAAAGCAAAAAAAAAAAAAAAAAAAAGAATCCA